GTGTGGAAACAGAAGAACTGACCCAAAGAATTCAATTAGGTTCAAGTTACAGAGAAAATGATTTCAGCTGTAATGTAATGTAACAACTTTAACAATTAGAGTTATTAAAAAATGGAATGAACTATCTGAAAAAACATTCAAGGCTTTGTCACAAGAAATTTAGCAGAGAATTTAGAGTTTGTTTACATCAGGTAGCTTAAAAATCTGCAAAAACTTCTCCAACTATGAGATTTCATGAATAAGGCCTGTGCTACTAATTACAGAAGAATGCTGCCTATTTATGCGTTATGACTAAAATAAGTATAGACACACAAATTTAATTAAGGTTTGTTTGTTTTTCTCCAGAAGATATAGAAATTAACTGAAGCTAGCTCAAGAAAACAGGGGTTGGGACTCCCCTGGTGGCACAGGCGGTTGAGCGCGGTGCTGTGAAGCCGTCCGCAGCCTCTGCAGCGCTGGTTTGATTCCAGCCAGCCGGTGAGGGTCCCACATGGCATGGCAGACCTCTCCTGTCACGCCCGCTGCTCCCCTCAGCAATGTATTTCAGTCAGTCTGCCTGTTCTGTTCCCTGCTCTGTCTCTGGTGAGTCCTCTCACCCTCCTGCAAATCTGGCCTGTACCCCGGTTCTTGTATAAATAAATAAATAAATCTTTAAAAAAAAAAGAAAAGAAAAGAAAAGATAACAGGGGTTATTGTAGGCATATACCATTGACCTTTGGAAAATTCAGGCTTGAACTACACACATTCACTTATACCTGGATTTTTTTCTATATGGTTCCATATCGCCAAATTCAACCAATTATAGATGTAGATTGGTTGGATCCTTGGATATGGAATCTTGGCTAGGGAACTGGAAGTAATTATAAGGAAGTTGGGCATTTAGGAATGTTGTTATCCATGTGGGTCCTGAAAACAATTCCTGGTGAGTACCAAGGGATGACTGTAGTTAATTTTTTTTGGGGGGGGGGCAGTCAAAAGTATACACAGATTTTTAACTTTGTGAAGGTTAGTGCCCCTAACCCTTCAAGTTGTCCAAGGATCAATGGTATATGGTAGGTAAGGATCTCACAAGAATGCAGAGAACATTAGCAGGGATGACAAAAACTGTGATGGAAAGTGAAGCAACTCTGCTATTTTTCTCTCAGATGTTCATCTTTTTCTTCTTGATAGCTCTGCTTTCTTGGCAGTCTCACTACATCCTGTTTCTTAATAATTCCAGCTTGCCTTTCAAAGCTGCACTAGCCTTGAATCTATTCCATGAGCTTACAGCTTTAGTGCTCCCACAAGATGCTTTCTTTTCACTTTTTCCCTTTACCAGTTTCATGAAAATAACTTTTTTTTTCCCCAAGCCAGATCACTGACTACAGTATGGCTGGACTTGGGTCAGATGGCTTCCAGTGATCCAAATATCTGGGGCTGGGGAATTTTGTTTATGAGGGCAGGGAAGTTTCCACCAGATGCAGATGTAGGTGTGGCAATTCCAACATCATTATTATACAATTTTTCAGCTAGTAACTCAGGAGGGGACATATTAACACATGTACAGATAATCTGAATTTGAAATAAAAACAAGTGGTAAGGGTATCTAGGAGTTGGTAATACTTCAAATCCAAATAGGAAGAGAGGAAGACACTGGAAGTTCTCCTAGCTGAAAGTTTTAGAACTGAAACCTCTGTGTGGACAGTTTCTGAATAGAGGAAAAGATAAGAGTGGGTAGATTCTGTTCCTAGAAATATTCACATAGGAAAATTTGTGCTTTTACTTGCTGTAGTCTATTGAGCATAAAATTATTCAACAAAACAACAACGCCTCCTAAATTAATGGTAGGTATATATACAAATGTTTCATGGTATTATATAAAGACTGGTTCTTTTTTTTTTTTTTAAGATTTATTTACTTATACAAGCACTGGGTACAGTCAGAAGTGCGGGAGGGTGAGAGAATTCACCAGAGCCAAAGAGGGGAGCAGAACAGACAGACTCATGAAATACACTGCTGAGGGGAGCAGCGGGCACGGCAGAAGAGGTCTGCTGCACCATGTGGGACCCTGGCTGGCGGCCAGGGATCCAACCTGAGCTGCAGAGGCTGCACGCAGCTTTGCAGCCCAGCGCTCAACCGCTGCACCACCAGGTAGGCCCGAGACTTGTTCTTAAAATGTGATTTCTGGGGAAGTACATTCACATCCCAGGTCTAAGGGATCAGAAACTGTGGGTGACAGAGCCCAGCAATTTGATTTTTAACAAGCCTTCTGGGAAATTTTGATGCACACCACTGAAATAGGAAATGTCTTTGAGTTCCTTGTTTTTGTCCAATAAGAGAATCCACTTTCAACTTGAACACTGTATGGGAAGTGACTCTTTTCGCAAAGGCATTTCCCACTTATCAGGAAGATGGCTGAGGAAGGCAAGAAACAAAGATCAAGAAATCTACAGGGCTAGGTAGATGTTTAGAAGCTTTTCCTGGGGACAGTGGCCAAGAGGCAGGCAGCTGGCATGTTACCAAGACTCCTGGAGAGTATAAACCTTCCTAGAAATCAACTGGGAAAGTTGCATTTAAAGTGAACTTTGAGGAAGAGCATTAACACAGTCTAAACACTTCTCCAAAAACAAGTAAAGGTTTTGATATAAAGAGACATCAGCTCATGTAGGAACAAGAACAGTATGTATCTTAATAAGAAATAAGTAAATTTTGCCTTTCTGGTTAAGAGCTCTCACTGGTTACTTACTAATGATAATGTGTAACATATAATGAGTGTTTACTCTGTGGCAGGTACTGTAGTAACTATTTTAGCAAATTATCTCATGCTTAGCCCCATAACAGAGAAGAGGAAATTAAGGCCTAGAGAACTATACTAACTTGCCTCAGGCCACACAAGTAGTAAGTGATGACATAGGGTTCAAATTCAGGAAGTTTGTTTCCAGAGCACCACTGCTTAACTTGAATGTTGCTCAGTGACAACCTCAATATGTATTAAATATTTAGAGATTTGGAGTTGCTATTTCAGGATGTGGATTTTTATAGTATTTATACATCTCAAACTATAGAACTTCTTTATGTACTCTATGTATCCCTCTATAGAACTGGTTACTGGACCTCACCTAACCAATGCCATCAAGTTCTAGTACTCAATCAGGACAATCAGGTAGGCTGCATTCTTCCCAAAAATGGCTTTAATAAGGTCACAGCTACAAGCATATTTGGAACTCTGGGTTCCAAAATTGGATGTTATTTAAAATACCTTGTTACAACAGGGAGTATAAAGAAGTACATGATACAGGACATAAAAGGAGAGGGAGATATTCCATGGGACCAACTGACCTCAGCTATGTAGAGTCTAACGACCAATACCTCTAATCCAGGTGTTTGTTTTTGTCTGAAATAAATTTGGTGAACTTATTTAAACTCTGGCATTTATCTTCAGATGGAATTTGTGTTTTAGTATTACAATAATAATGGCTGTATTGGTTTTGTTCACCACATCTGTGCATAGTCAAGCACACTGCTGGCTACATGACAGGTGTGTATGTATTGATATTTGTGAAAAGAGGTGAGGAAGGAAAATGGAGAAAGGGAAGAAAGTTATATAAAGATTGTCTTTAAGCATTAAAATTTTTTCTTATAGGAGCCATAAATGGGAGTGGAACCTTTGAAGTAACTGCTTAAGTGTTAACAAGAAAGGACGATGAATTAGAAATCTATTCACTTAGATGGGTACAATGTGTAAGTATGAAGTAAAGCATCTAGGAAATTCCTGCTTTGATCCAGTCCAATTGTCTGTGGGTAACTTCACGCAAGCAAGTTAATTTTGTAGGCTTGCTATTCTATTTGAGTTACAAATCCATGCATGCATATATTCATTTTTTTCAATAAACATTTTTTGTGAGACTCTTATGTGCCGTGCTGAGCACCCTACCCCTCTCCCCTCTCTCTCTCACTTCCTGTTTGGGTGGTAGTGGAAAACCTGCAGCTTTGTTTATTTATGCATTTGAGGTTTGGGAGGTAGGCTGCGTTTAGAAGGGAGCTCCAAAGGTAGTTAATGGAGGGATTCATTTAAACTGGGAAGTGATATAATCCGTGATCAGAGATTTACGTTAGATAAACCACACAGGCAGCTGTGACGTCATGGAAAGGATACTGCTTTTACCTTTTTTTTTTTTTTTAGTCAAACCAGATCTCAGACATGGCGCTTTAAAAAATGACGTGTTATATCAGTTTGTCAAATGTAATTATTCAATTGAGCCTAATGGCACAACTTGCGACAGGGGACAAATGTAGTGTTAAGATTAACTGAAAGGCGCTGATCTTCTGCTGAATTAAAAAGAAAGTTTGTTAGCGAGTGGGACAACCCGCTCCTCTTCCCCACTCACCCCTTGAGTGGCAGTGGAAAGACTGTAGAATTATTCATTTATTTATTCATTCAGTTTATTGAGGTAAAGTTGATTTACAAATTAGTATTTGTTTTAGGGGTTATGGGTTCAAACCTAAACGAACGTGTTCACACCGTGCCCACACCAATGTCCCAATAACCCAAGTCTGCAGAATTTTTAAGTCATTTACAAGACTGAAAATGTGGTAGTGGACGGTGGTGAATTCTTCAGCTTTCCTGTTTTTCATGCTGTCAGAATCTACTATACTGATCCTTCTCAGGACACTAGCAGGATCAAAAGGAAAAATAAAGGTACTAAAACAATTAGCGCACAGCCAACAGGGCCGTATTTTGGAAGAAAGGCATTAGTTCCCAAACATATTTAAACTGTCGTGCCGGAACCACGAAACACAAAGTCCAACGCGGCACGGAGGACTTGACTGTAACACCGCCACGGGGCACTAGCGTCTTGCAAGCCTGTTTTGGTTCCCGCCCCTTTCCTCTTGCTCCTTCTAATCCCTTCCCCCTCAGTCAATTCCGAAACGGAACCTTTTTTAAATTCTTTCCAAGTTGGAGTGTAGGACCAGTTTCGTCACACTATCCGTAGTGGTCAACATGGCGGCGGCCGTAAGGTGGTGCCTGGGTAGAGGTAAAGCAAAGGGTTGGGGGAAAATACTTCTGGCGCGGAGTCTCCTGTTATAGCAGAATGCAAGTCGGACTGCCCTAGACACGTGTCTACACTAGGCATTGCTCTTTCTGCGCTCTAGGTTCTCCATAAGGTTAATAATATTTAAAGACGACCTTATCAGGAATGTCACTTTTCCCTAGAGCCGTTTTCGGAGTGGAAGGGGGCTGTATTTTGTCACCCTTGACACCCCTCCACCCACGAGTAGGGTCGGGAGGCGAAGTCGGAATTCTGTCTTCTATCCTAGGGGTGTGGGCTAGGGGAAAAAGGAGTTTGATACGTAAGGTGAGCTTTTGTAAGGAAAGGCTGGCATATTTGAGTGACTTAAATCAGTAAACAGTTTAAAAAATGCTTATTGTTATTTTTGGACTACCTCATTGCAAGAAATTCCAGTTCTTAAACTTCCACTTATTATTTAGAAGCTAATTTTATATTGTTGGTAACTGTTCTTTTTAGCAGCTAATCAGGTCCAATTCGTTGACTAGGATGACACTTTTTGGTACTATGCTTTTTAAATTTTAGTGATTTTTTGAAGCACAGCAATTGTTAATTAATTAAGGGAGAGCTTTAGGTGGAGGCAGCAGTCTGCATAACCCTCATTTTACAGAGGAAGAAACTAGTCCTGGTGGTATATAGCCAAATTCATATAACTATTAGTGGCAGAGAAAGAACTTAAGCTTGCACTCCTCGACCAATGAAAAATTTTTTTAACTGCGGCATAGTGTTCTACGTCAAGACCAACATTTTGTTTTGGGGATAGTTATTGCTTAAAGAATAGGTGTGACAAGTGATCACAACAGATTCTGCTAACTACTACAAGCCAAAATATGTGTTTATTGAAAAAAAAAAAAAAGATTGATGGCATTACCTTCCTGTATGACGGAAATATTGCCATCTTAGATAAACCAAAGAAACTAAAAAGAGAACTAAAGTTTCTCTTTCTCTCCTTGCCACATTTTCTTCTCTTTGTCTTCCAGGATACCTTACTCTTTTAGTGTCAGTTGTCACTTCTCACACCATCTTGCTGGTTCCTCATCCTTTTCCCAATCTCTTACCACGGATAATCTCAGGAACCAGGAGTCCATTTTCCATTCTAATGGTGCATGTCTTTTGTATCTAAATTCACTCATTTGGTGATCTCATCCAAATCTTGTGACTTTGACTTTACTTAGATCTTAATGACTCTAAAAGTTGGGGATCTCCTTCCCAAATCTTGGATTCCTAAACACTTTTCTGCCTATTGTAGATCTCCACTTGTATCTCTCATCAGCAGCTAATATTTTTCTAAAGTTAAACTCATTGACATAGATATAGTCTTACCTCATATCATTTGATGACAACTCCATTCTTTCAATATTCCAGACCAAAACTTCAGAATATCCTCAAACTTCCCCACCCCTTTTCTCACATTTTCACATTAAATAGTTGGCAAATCCTGTTTGTTTTACCCTCAAAATAAATCCAGAAATCTGACTTATCACTGCCTCACTGCAACTTGCTTCCAAGTCACTACCATACCTCAGCTGGATCTCTCTGAAGTCTATTCTCAACAAGTAGTGAAATTGGTCTTTAAGAATTTAAATCATATTGCTCCTGTGCTTAGCCTCTTGCAAAAACCTCACTATTTTTCTAAATCCAAAGTTTTTAAAATGGCCCACAGCTCTGCTATTTTAGTACTCATTAATGAGAACTTCAAATGTGACTGATCTGAATTGAGTGTGTCAAATACACATTCAATTTTGAAAAATTAGTGCCACAAAAGACCATATTTCCATAGTTTCTTCTTAGATTGATATGTTGAAATGATATCTTGGAGCATTAGCTGTAATAAAATGTTAATTTTTATTACTAATTTCAGTGGTTTCCTTTTTATCTTTTATCTTCCATGTTGTCTGGTAACTTGTCTTATGCCACCCTTATTTCCCTAGATTTCCATTTTGCCCTTGTCTCCAGCTGCCCTCCTCTTCCTTCACTGTGCTGTAGCCAGTTTGCAGTACAGTGTTCTGTAAACATTGCAACAGGACTCCTGCCTTAGGAGGACTTTTTCTCCCCAGTGGAATGGGCCAGGAACACTTTTTATAGTTATTAGCGTGGCAGAATTCCTCATTTTTTTCAAGTTTTTGTCAAGGCTTACCTTAATCCCCTAATTAAAATGTAACTTGCTTTCCCCTTGTCTTTATCACTTTTATCCTGTGGGTACACTGACCACTCTGTTTTATGTTTACTAATTTTTTTTAATTTAAATTTTATTTTTATATTCCCCGTACAATTACAACCCCCTTATTTTGACCCCAGTCCCTCCTTTCCCCACCCCCACACCCCATAGAGTGTCTCTGGTTCATAGTTGTTTGTGGATTTTGATATTTTCTTTCTTATAGTTATTCTTTTTCCAGGTCCCTTATTTAAGTTTTCTAAATTCCTGCTATGAGTGAGACCATCCGGTATTTCTCTTTTTCTTTCTGGCTTATTTCGCTGAGATGATCCCTTCCAGCGCCATCCATGTTGCTGCAAATTGCATGTGTTTATCTTTTTTGAATGCTGAGTAATATTCCATGGTGTATATATACCACATCTTCTTGATCCAGTCATCTGTTTTTGGGCATTTGGGTTGTTTCCAAAGCTTACTATTGTTAATAGTGCTGCTCTAAACATAGGGGTGCAGGTGCTCTTTGGAATTGATGTTTCTGTGTCCTTTGGGTAAATACCTAGGAGTGGAATTGCTGGATCATATGGAAGCTCTATCTTTAGTAGGTCAAGTAATCTCCACACAGCTCTCCATAGTGGTTGGACCAGTTTGCACTCCCACCAACAGTGCAGGAGAGTTCCTTTTTCTTCACAACCTCGCCAACATTTGTTGTTAGTTTTTTTAATATGTGCCATTCTCACTGGTGTAAGATGGTAGCTCATTGTAGTTTTGATTTGCATTTCCCTGATTACAAGTGATGTTGAACATTCATTCATATGCCTGTTGGCCATTTGCATTTCCTCTTCAGATAAGTTTCTTTTTAGCTCTTCTGCCCATTTTTTGACTGGATTGTTTTCTTTGTTTTTGTTAAGTCTCATCAGCTCTTTGTAGATTTTTGTGATTAGTCCTTTATCATTAGTGTTGTGTGCAAAAATGTTCTCCCAGTCGGTGGGGTTTCTCTTTGTTTTTGTTATTGTCTCTTTTGCTGTGCAGAAGCTCTTTAATTTGATGTAGTCCCAGCTGTTTATTTTTGCCTTCACTATCACTGCTTTGGGTGATGTGTCTGTAAAGATGTCTTTGAGGTGCATATCATGTAGTGTTTCGCCTATATTTCCTTCTATGTATTTTATGGTTTCAGGTCTTATGTTTAGTTCTTTAATCCATTTTGAGTTGGTTTTTGTGCAGGGTGTTAGGTAGTAGTCAAGCTTCATTCTTTAGCATGTAGCAACCCAGTTTTCCCAGCACCATTTATTGAACAGACTTTCTTTGCTCCAATGCATATTCTTTGCTCCTTTGTCAAAGATTAGTTGACCATAAATCTGTGGGTTTATTTCTGGATTTTCTATTGGGTTCCATTGGTCTGTGTGTCTGTTCTTGTTTGAATACCATGCAGTTTTGATGATTATGGCTTTGTAGTATAGTTTGAAGTCTGGGAGTGTGATGCCTCCATTCCCCCCTTTTTTTTTTCAGGAGAGCTTTGGCTATTTGGGGTTTTTGGTGATTCCATATGAATGTCATCAATAATTGTTCTATTTCTTTGAAGAATGATATTGAAATTTTTATTGGAATAGCATTGAATCTGTATATTGCTTTTGGTAGGATGGCCATTTTAATAATGTTTATTCTTCCAATCCATGAGCAGGGGATATCTTTCCATTTCTTTGTGTCTTCTTCTATTTCTTTCAACAGTGTTTTATAGTTTTCTTTGTATAGGTCCTTTACCTCTTTTGTTAGATTTATTCGCAAGTATTTGACTTTTTTTGTTTCGATAATAAAGGGGATGGTTTTTTTGATTTCTTCTTCTTCAGATTTATTGTTTGTGTATAGGAAGGCTACTGACTTTAGTGTGTTGATTTTGTAACCTGCCACTTTACTGAACTGATTGATGAGTTGAATTAGTTTTTCTGTGGAGTTTTTGGGGTTCTCTATGTATATTATCATGTCATATGCAAATAGTGATAGTTTGACTTCTTTTCCTATTTAGATTCTTTGTATGTCTTTCTCTTGTCTTATTGCTCTGGCTAGGACTTCCAGTATTATATTGAAAAGCAGTGGTGAGAGTGGACATCCTTGTCTTGTTCCAGATCTTAATGGAAATGCTTTCAGCTTTTCACCATTGAGACTGATACTGGCTGTTGGCTTGTCATACATGGCCTTTATGATGTTGAGGTATGTTCCTTGTATCCCAAGAATTTCAAGGGCTTTTATCATGAATGGGTGTTGCACTTTGTCGAAAGTTTTCATGGCATCTATTGATATTATCATAAGGTTTTCATATTTCTTTTTGTTGATGTGTTGGATAATGTTGATTGATTTTTGGATGTTGAACCATCCTTGTGTCCCTGGAATGAATCCTACTTGGTCGTGGTGAATTATTTTATGGATACATTGTTGGATTCTGATAGCTAAATTTTTATTGAGGATTTTTGTATCAGTGTTCATTAGTGAGATTGGCCTATAGTTTTCTTTTTTTGTGTTGTCCTTGTTCAGTTTTGGTATTAGTGTAATTGTGCCTTCATAGAACGTGTTTGGTATTTTCCCTTCCTTCTTAATTTTTAGGAAGAGTTTGTGAAGGATAGGCACTAATTAGTTTCTGAACGTTTGGTAGAATTCATTTGTAAATCCATTGGGTCCCGGGCTTTTGTTTTTGGGAAGGTTTTTTATTACCATTTCAATTCCACTGCTTATAATTGGTCTGTTTAGGTGTTCTAGTTCTTCTTTATCTAGCTTTGGGTGATTGTAGAGTTGTAGGAATTTGTCCATCTCCTCTAGATTGTTG